TCTGTCTCTCTCTCTCTCTCTCTCTCTCTCCTCTCTCTCTCTCTCTCTCTCTCTCTCTCTCTCTGTCTCCCTCTCCTCTCTCCTCTCTACTCCCACTCCTTCCCTCTCTCTCTCCCTTCGTTCCTCCTGATGTTGCTGTTTACGATTCAGCTACAAGGAACACAAAGTTCCAAGTACCACAAGCTATGATGAGCCCGTAGTGAACTTACCTGGCACAGGAGAGGGGCTGTAACTTGTTCCTCCCTCCCTCCCTCCTCACCTTAATAGACTCTACGTGTCTCTTGGCATAGAGGTAGAGTCTGGAGTAGATAGCGAGCATGACGCAGCAGGGTAGGAAGAAGCTGATGAAGGAGGAGACGACGGCGTAGATCCTGCTCAGCTCCAGAGCACACTGCTGCTCCTCGTGTGCCTGTGTGTGCACACCAGAAGGAGGACTTAGCAAGACGTGGAGGAGGAGGATAAGATGGAAAGAGGAGACAGAAAGATGAAAAAGTTGTACTTAATACTGACTACAGACAAGGGAGGTGTATAGCTCTCTCAGGTGATGGGTTATGTAGATGGGCTATACTCTTCAGTAGAGGGGTATAGCCCCCATCTACTAGCCTTGTTGAGCCTGTCGTATAGAACTGAATTTGCATAGATTTCGAAAATGGTGGGAGCAGATTTGACAAGATTTGGTCTTGCTATTTTTACACAAGCGCTGAGATATGAGTAAAACTATTAATCATGTGTGACGATAATCTCCTTCAAGAGATTGAGCCTGCTCTTCCCTCCACAATTACGTCGATACAACTATATAAACTACTATGGAAGAAATGTCCAACAACGACAACAACATCTCCAAGGTTTGCCAGAGCGCAAAACGTATGCAGCCAGGAACACCTGCTCGGACTCAAACCGCCAAACTACCCGTCTTGCTGCCGGCTCCTCTGATTGGTCGCCGGTCGGGCTGCAACTGCACTCCACCCCCCATACTACTTGATGTCTGGGGCCGCCACGACCTCAGACCTCAGAATATTCCGTGCTTTCTCACAGTTAACATTTCTCCCTGCTAGACGTAAGCTTTGGCGTACGTGTACTGAGAGAGGTGATAGCTTAAAGCCAATATTCCAGCACCTTTCATTTACTTTTATATTGCACTTCTTGTTATTTTGTCTTAACGTAACTTTTCATTGTGTCATTTAATTATTCTTATTATTTTGATTGATTGATTTTATTATACGAATTTGTTTGTCCATTTTATTCATGTTTTGATTTATTTAACGTAATTAAAATTTCATTGTTAAAATTTACTTGTGTTTTGTGTGTCTTCTCCTTACCTTACCACAGACGAAGTTCCAGATTTTCTATTTTTTTTAATACTATGTGACGAGGCCATACCCCTAGCTTTGAACAGCCGAACACCAACGCGTTACCGTCACACATGTGTTTAAGTACCGGTGATGATCAGGGAATAGTGATTAAACCTGTTCTTATTCTCAGAGAATGTAACAACAACAAGGGTCTGACGGGCAGAAGTTAGTAAAATTTATATGCCCAGCGAAGGAAATTTAGCAATTATTTTTACACATCAATAATTATCTAATGTATGAGGTCCTTGTGACTGAGCACCATTCCTCCCTCTCCGTTCTATTCCAGAGAGAATATCTTCATATTCTTTCCAATATGCTACGTAATCATTGGTTGCTTATCATTTTCTCCTTAAAGCAAACTAACCTTATCTAATGCAGGAAGCCCCAGAAAGTTTAATTACGATTATTTGAACAATTCTGTTTACTTATTACGATTTTGCAAGTTGGAAAAAGTGCGCATAGTCGTTGCCCTGAGAGCCAGAAAGTGGCGTTGCCAAAAGTTCAATATAAAGCAAGTGGTGTGGAACTTTGTTTGCTTAAGACTCTTGATAGGATTTTCTCTTTCAATATCTCCAAAGGGGATTACCTCGAAAGTTTCAAAAGGTCCTTTATATTTCTAAAGAATCCCGAACCCTTTGTAGGAAAGAAGAAGTAGAATCAAAAGATGAACACAGAGGGTATCCTGGAAGCATGAGAATACAGAAAATTTCCACAAAATTTGTTACCTAGCAGTAAAATAGGTACCTGGGTGTTAGTCAGCTGTCACGGGCTGCTTCCTAGGGGTGGAGGCCTGGTCGAGGACCGGGCCGTGGGGACACTAAAAAGCCCCGAAATCATCTCAAGATAACCTCTCAAGATAACTTCCACTTAAACAAATTCTCAGCCGTTTAGCTGGAAACACTTTTTTATCTCAGCTTGGTCAGATTATCTGAGATAGACCACAATACCAAGTCACAAATCTCTCAGGATTATATATCTAGAAGATGGCGTATTCAACAAAAAAATGCATTTAGAGTCATCAGCTATAAACTACAATAATACCACTCTAGGTCATATGACCCAAACGAGGTGTGAATTGAGTTTTAACAGAGCACAGACATTATCCCACAGCCCTCGTGTCCCACTGGGATATAGAGTCTGTATCATCCCAATAAATCTGGATCATAGACTAGTGAAGCAATATGCATTCAAATATTGCACACAATTAAGACTATAATATACCATAGACCGTAGTGAATTAATAACCAAAACAGGGTGCCACAGACGAGGATTGGGTGCCACAGACGAGGACTGGGTGCCAGGGATGAGGATTGGGTGCCACAGACCAGGATGGGTTCCCACAGACGAGGACTGGGTGCCAGGGATGAGGATTGGGTGCCACAGACCAGGATGGGTTCCCACAGATGAGGACTCATTCTACCCAATAAAACACCTGAACCTGATAAACTCTACCCACTAAAACACCCGTCAAAAAGAACTTTTTCAGTATAAGAGTCGCAAATAAGAGCAACGGACTATATGGGGAAAACCTGTCGAAGCCACTACACAGTTTTAAATGTAAAAATGATAAGAAAAGCGAATGAAAAAGAGTCACTGCATTCAATAAATTATGGTCGAAAGGCGGGCCACACACACACACACACACACACACACACACACACACACACACACACACACACACACACACACACACACACACACACACACACACACACACATACAGACGTACTTTATGTTTGTCATCTTGCGACTCTGGAAGATGAAGACCCAGCATAATAGGCAGGAAAGAGACGAGAGCACTCAGTACCCAAATGGCTGCGATAGATGACGTTACGATCCGTTTGGTCATCCACCGACCGTAGCGAAGCGGGTCCTGTCGGAGGAGGAGGAGGAAGGGTACATGTAGTGGTACCTGGCTGATGTAGTGGTACCTGGCTGATGTAGTGGTACCTGGCTGATGTAGTGGTACCTTGGGGGATGTTGTGGTACCTTGGGGGATGTTGTGGTATCTTGGGGGATGTTGTGGTACCTTGGGGGATGTTGTGGTATCTTGGGGGATGTTGTGGTACCTTGGGGGATGTTGTGGTACCTGGGTGATGTTATGATATCTTGGGGGATGTTGTGGTACCTTGGGGGATGTTGTGGTATCTTGGGGGATGTTGTGGTACCTTGGGGGATGTTGTGGTACCTGGGTGATGTTATGATATCTTGGGGGATGTTGTGGTACCTTGGGGGATGTAGAAATACATGGGAAGGTGCCCAATACATGTATTTCATGGGGTACAATACATGGGAACTTGCCCAATAGATTAGAAATACATGGAAAGGTGTCCAATAGAGTAGAAATACATGGAAAGGTGCCCAATAAAGTAACAATACATGGGAACTTGCCCAATAGGGTAACAATACATAGGAAGGTCTCCAATAGGGTAGCAATACATGGGAAGGCCCTCAGTATAGTAGCTATACATAGGGAGGTGACTGGTATATGGAACATATAAAATAAATAATTACTCAAACTTTACAATTTTAATAATTATGTATTCTCATATTATATTTTATAATTAAATTCATAACATTTAACTCTTCCTTCTCCTGCTCTGTGATCCACTGATCAGAAAGACTGACAAAAAAGTAATTCTATCCAAATACACTTTGCAATTATTACATAAAAAATTATTTTAAACAAATATTTGTATTGAAAAATGGTACTGAATACATTTTTGAGTAATTATTTTATTATATTTTTAAAAACAATTACATTTTTGTTAATTACCATCTTAGGGAGAAAATAGTATTATACGAACTAAATGTAATTAAAGTATATATATATAATTTATGTTGTTTAAATAAATATAAAGTTGTTTAGACTTAAGTCTCAAGCAATATTATTATTTTAAAAGTTAACTTTCAAATCTTACTTTTTCTAACTTCTGCTAACCTAACAAAGCTTAGCCTTACCTATCAAGTTGACCAAACCACACACTAGAAAATGAAGGAACGACGACGTTTCGACTTGAGAATCGTCTAAAACGGACCGAAACGTCGTCGTCCCTTGACTTTCTAGTATGTGGTTGTCTCAACATATTTCAGCCACGTTATTGTGACTCCTCGTCAACCAACCTATCATTGCAGGCGATGAGTCACAATAACGTGGCTGAAGTATGTTGACCAGACCACACACTAGAAATTGAAGGGACGACGACGTTTCGGTCCGTCCTGGACCATTCTCAAGTCGATTGAGAATGGTCCAGGACGGACCGAAACGTCGTCGCCCCTTCAATTTCTAGTGTGTGGTCTGGTCAACCTATCATTACCAATCAGGTTAACATGAATCCCACCAACATACCTTAATATGAATATACCTATCGAGGCTAATGGCGCACAGATTCACAATGGAAGCCGTGGAACACATGACATCGAAGGCGATCCAGATGTTGCAATAATCATTACCGAAGGGCCAGTACCCCAAGAGGTCATTAACCAGGGCGAAGGTCATCACCACACAGGCGACGAAGAGGTCAGCAATGGCCAGGGATACGACGAAGAGGTTTCCAATCTTGCGCAGATTCCGGTCGGTGTACACAGCGACGCAGACCAATACGTTGCCGAAGATAGACAGGAAGATAACGAAGGATAACACGATACCTGTAGAAGGAGCAGAAGAAGGCCGTTTTCTTTAAGTGTCTGTTGTTGTTGTTTAAGATTCGCTACCTGGAACAATGAGTTCCAAGTAGCACGGGCTATGGTGAGCCCGTAGATTTAAGTGTCATATACTCATGATGAGGATTGTATGAATACGGAATTACAATTATGAAAAGATGGAACTCATAAAGCAGTGAATAAAAAATTAATCAAGAACTTGATAATTTTGTTTATTTGGAAATTTGGGGTAAATTTAGATTAAAAGAGAAGTAATATGGGCAGAAATGAGTCGACAGAGTGATTTACAGTCACTGTGTGTTTGTTTGTTTGTTTGATCCTGCAGGATCGATCTGTACCCAGCATTTTTAATCGTTTGTAGTCTAATTTATTGATTCCCGACCTATTTTCCTCTATCATATCTATTGTATCTCTCTCTCTCTCTCTCTCTCTCTCTCTCTCTCTCTCTCTCTCTCTCTCTCTCTCTCTCTCTCTCTCACACACACACACAGCCCCAGGATACAGCCCTTAGCAACTATCTAACTCTAAAGTTCCATTTACTGCTAAGTGAACAGGTGCATCAGATGAGAGAAACTCTCTTCATTTCTTTCTGCCTCGGCGAGAAACGAACCCGGGACCTTAGGACTACGAATCCCGAGCGCTGTCCACTGAGCCATCAGGCCCCTGTGTACTCAACGTGTGTGTGTGTGTGTTTGTGTGCGTACGTTTGGGAGTGTGGGTGTATATTCTTTTGTAAAAGAATTTTCAGGACTGAGCTTTAGATCCTATTGAAAACAATTTCAACTGTCAGTCTCCTTACGACTTCTATATTTATAATATATATATATATATATATATATATATATATATATATATATATATATATATATATATATATATATATATATATATATAGATATATATATGTATATATATATATATATCTCGTTGCACAATAATCCTTCATTGCTCCTCCTTTCCAGTTTGCTCCATACACTCTCCTTACACAGATAAAGTGTCTCCTGATAATACGTATAGGAAGGCTGAGGACCATAAGTACTTATACTGACATACAACGCAATTAGAAAGTCGAAATCGGTACTATTTGAATTTAGACAAACTGGAAAACGATTTTCTACTTATGTTGCAAAAGACAAACTAACCTAACCTAACCTTCCTAGGCTAATTCTCGCTATCTGAGGCCTAATATAGTATATATGTGTACTATACTAGGCCTAGGAATATTTAAGTTTGTTTTTTAGCTTAATTTTTTAACTCTATAATGAGAATAGTACAAAATCCTACTATCTAACTGCTTAGTACGTCAATATTTGTACTATGATGCACATGGTTACAAAAAGTACACATCTGAACTGAATGATGGGTTGCTACTGACATCTCTCTAACTCATCTTAGTGTGAATATAGCAGCGATGAGTGCATTCATTATTTGGTTACTCAAATATGGTTCTCACGTATTTAATCGGTGCTACTGAGTATTTTCTATCTCTGGATCAAGTCCCACCCCCCTCACTGTCACACCTTTCTTCTAGTTTGATTAAGTCCAGCACCTTCAAGCCGTCCTCACAGACACAGTTCGTTATCTTCTTAACTAATAGGTCGCATTTTGTACGTTCCGGTACGTTACACGTGCATCATACTATGAAAAGTGACCATCCACATATATCCGTTTTCTATGCATCGGACTCGATAGGTTAGGTAGGTTGCGGGGGGTTCATTCCTTTCTGATTAGATTAAGAGTTTGAATTTGTTTACAGAGTAGTAAATCAAGAAAACGGGCTATGAGTCTGCTAATAAATAGCGAATCAAGGGTAGACTCATGTAAAAATATTGATCATTGTTGACCAGATCACACAGTCGGTTCACAATCGACTTGAGAATGGTCCAGGACGGACCGAAACGTCGTCGTCCCTTCACTTCCTAGTGTGTGGTCTGGTCAACATACTTCAGCCACGTTATTGTGACTCATCGCCTGCAATGATCTTTTGTTTACCCTCTTGTAAGACATCATCGACTTTCACCACTTCCTCTCCCAGCTGTTGATCACAACTCTGCAATCGTAATGGACATTTGCCAGGTAGGATAGCCTCTGCTTCAAAGGTTAATGCCTCGGCTCATAAGGCGTCTCAACCCGCTATCGTAATCAAAGCGACAGGATATAAGCAACTCAAAAGGAACGTCAGGTCTCTAAGGAGTCAATATTCCTCCTTAATGGAGATTGGAAGACTTGTCTTAAGAATATTTATATACACGAATAGAATATTTATATTCTAATATTCAAGAATATTTATATATATATTTATTTTCTCGCGTTGTCAGAGGGGAGACTAAAATAGTTTTCTTTTCTTGTCGTTCAGTATTCGAGTTAATTTTTATCTTGCAATGTTGTTCCTTCTAGAGGAAAAATAATGCTATTGGCTTATTTATTAATAATAAATTATGTTTGCTTCAGGATTTCGCAAAAAACTTCCCAAACGTTTATGATTAAATTCCTAATTTAATTAAAAAAAACTAATGTTTTTTATAATTCAGAAAAGGACATTTTGGACGTATTAATTAACTCCGTGCAACACAACCCAACACCCAGCAACACAGGCAAGACAAGTAGTGAACAACACAACCCATAACAGGGAACACACACACACACACACACACACACACACACACACACACACACACACACACACACACACACACACACACACACACACACACACACACACACACACACACACACTGCTTCACTCAGTATAACTAAACGATATAAAACACCATAAACGTGAATCATAACATAACACAAAACAAAACTCATCATAACCTCAAGTGATATAAAACAACCTCATTAAACCCATCATAACACAACTACATCATTTACAACGAAACAACCTCCGTCTCTAGTATAAGAACAGAACCCGGATATAACAGAGATTGTATGCAATCCACAGACTGTATAGAGTCTATAAACACTGCTATATCCGGTCCCAATTTCACGCTGAATTTAATATTCATACGTTCTTTTAGCCTAATTTATTTACCGACAAATAGCAAAATTTGTAATGCAAATCAGAAATATCCATTTAGGAATTAAATTAGCATAACCACCTAAGTCCCTGAACAAATGTTACTCACTGGGGATCGTAAGAAATGGTTCGATTTTTTTCGTATAAACTTTTATGTTTAGAAGAAATTGTTCTCTTAGTAGAAACAATTTGCTTTCAGTTGAAACTGTCCAACTTTCAGTAAAATTGCTTGAATCACAATGTCACAAATATACAGAAATTACGTTGCATGGAATGTGTATATTTTCGTATTTTCCAGCCCATGTATGGAGTAAATTCTTCGTATGGACATACTCCAGATTAGACGGTTTACGAGGTAATTGGTTCCACAAATCAGCAACCCTGTTACCGAACCAGTATTTACCTAGGTCTTTCCTATATTTATCCAGATTAGACGATCCGGTATTTATCGCGAGAGCGGGGTTTCCTCAGGTCCTACGGGTCTGGTTCAGGACAAAGGGCCAAATTTAGGTCCGAAGTGCCTAGTTCAGGTCCGAAAGGGTCAAGTCTTAGGTCCAAACTGCCAAGTTCAGAACCAAAAGGTCTAGCTCAAGTCCAATGTGAATAGATCAGGGCCAGAGTCTCTAATTCAGAAGCAAAGTGTGTAGTTCAGAACCAAGAGGTCTAACTTAGGTCTAAACTTTCTACTTCAGGGACAAAGATTCTAATTTAAGAGGCAAAGTATTTAGTTCAGGGCTAAAGCATTTACTTCAGAGGCCGAAAAGTCTAGGTTTACAGTCAAAATGTTTTTTAAATGAGAAACTGTATTTTGAAAATTTAAAATTATTCTGTAAATTAGGAGTTTATATAAATATAGTTTGGGAAAATTGGGGGTAAATACAAAAATAAAATAGTATTGGAACACGATTTGTGTTTGAAAGAGACCTTGTAAACACAGTGATGAGCGGGGTTACAGTTTGGTTTGGTTGTGGGGCTTTCAGGCTTTTCAGCCTTTTTTAAAATGTTATTAAAGCACCCACACTATAACCTTTTGACCACCAACCAACAAGTTTGCTGTTGGGCTTGAGTATAATTTAATACACACTTTAATAAAGCAGACTCTCGGTATATATATACACACACATACACCGAAAAGCGGAATAAACATTTTTATGTTTTATTTTATTTATTTATATATACAAGAGTTCTTACATTCTTGTACAACCTACAAGCACAGACAGTGTTTCGGGCAAGTCCTTAATCCTAATTTTCCTCTGAATACTACCCCTCCAAATCGTTTAATAACCTGGTACCCATTTGACTGTTGGGTAAACAGGCGCTAGAGTTAAGGATTGGCTCCCGGTAACTCCTCCCAGGCCAGGATACGAACCCAGGGCATAGCGCTAGAGAAACGCCAGGAGAGTGTCTTACCACTACGCCACGGGGACTTCAATTAATTAATGAATACATTTCTTGTGTGGCGTCGGAAAGAGAGGAGAGGAGGGAGCGACGAGGGAGAGAGAGAGAGAGAGGAGAGAGAGAGAGAGGAGAGAGGAGAGAGAGAGAGAGAGAGAGAGAGAGAGACTCTCTCTCTCTCTCTCTCTCCTCTCTGTGGTGAGGGTCTAATTGGTGAGGGTAAAGTAAATTTTGAACATACTATTTCTAAAGTAAGGAAAGCACACGTGAATTTGTTTAAAAACTTAAAAAAAAAACATTAAAGTCAAAGTCCAGGCTGAGAAAGTAATATTTTTTTCTCTGTGGTCAAACTTTTAATTGTCGTATTAATTATTTTCTGACATTTCTTTAGTTGAATTAATGTGGTCTAGGTATACTCTCACAACGATATAATCCAACGATTCCATTTAATATATAATACACTTTCCCATTACAAAAATTATATATATATGGTCTTAATTGGCAATACAACATATGTCTGATCTTGGCGACTAATATATTTCTGGGATTTGCATTGTATATTGGAGTGAGC